AGGACGATAACAGGTCGGTGCTGTTTTGGTTCCCAGACTCTGATCTTTCAGTCTGAGTTGGCACCTCTGAAGAGAAGCTGCTTGTTTGTAGGATCCTCCGTCCCTGGCAGAACTCCGAGCCCCGCAGCATCACCAACACCACCCTCTGTACCAAATGTGGAGGAGCTGGTCACATTTCATCTGACTGCAAGTACACCAGGTAATGGTGGGGAAGGCTGTGCATGCTGCTGCTTCCATCTACAGAGTTCAGCAGTGTTTCCTATTTGTTTGTGCAGCACCTTTGCAGGCCAGAGAGCAACAGGTGGAGAGCCCCCCCAGTCGGCCCAGGACAAGGCCCGTATGGACAAGGAGTATCTGTCCCTCATGGCGGAGCTGGGGGAGGCCCCGGTGCCGTCTTCAGGAGGAGGACACTCCAGCAGTCCAGCAGGAGCCCCCCGAGCCTCTGGACCAAACAGCAACCAGCCTCCTCCGGTTAGTGTGAGTCCCAGGTCCTCTCTCTGATTGGCTCAGAGGAGTGTGTTCATTGACTCGTTTTGTTCTACAGAACCGGCCGCCATGGATGAGCTCTGGTCCCTCTGAGAACAGGAACTATCCTGGCATGGGAGGGCCCACGGGGCCAGGAGGCCCTCAGAGCTTCCCTCCTCCCATGCACAACATGGGAGGACCACCTATGCCTCCCAACCCTAATGGCATGCCTCCACCCTGGATGCAGCCTCCTCCACCTCCAATGGGTCAGGGACCGGCTCCTCACGGACACCCCATGGGTGAGACTCTCGTGTTCTGCTACATTAGTTTCATTTTTGATGGCATTTTGTATTTAGAAACTATAAGCAGATCTGAGGGCCGGGCCATGGCTTCAAGCAGCGGACCTCTGAGATACATTGCTCTTAGTTTTGTGTTGAAAGGTCAGAGGTCAGCCACAGAGCAGAGGCTGTGGAGCTGAAACTCTGGTGTGTTTCATTAGAGGGAATTAATCGTGACTTTTTCTCCTCCATTCAGGTCTGCTGCCTCCTCCCATGGGTATAATGCCACCCCCACCACCCCCTCCTGGCAACCAGCCCCCTCCTCCTCCGTCTGCTCCCCTGCCACCATGGCAGCAGCAGGCTCCACCCCCACCCCCTACTAGCAGCATGGCAACAAGTACACCTCTACCTTGGCAACAGAGTAAGAGTTTCCACACTGTTATCCAGAAATCAGGTTGAGAGTATAGAATTGTGTGCTGCTGTTACACTGGGACTTTATTATGAAATAAAGGAGCACATGTGAAATTATTCTGTAAATATTGTAAATGTACTTACTGTCAAATTCATGTCTGATCAGAGCAGCTCAGCGGTCTGTGAAATAATCTAGTAAAAATCAGATCACTTCTGGTCTTTGACCTGACTGACATGGCTAGCTAACGCCTGGTTCACATGGCAACAGCTTCAGAACCTGAGACCACATGGTGATTGAACATTGTAGCTATAACAGAATCAGTTTTAAAGTATGTGGTGTTCAGTCACATGGCAGGAGCAACATACCAACCGGTTTCACTCACCAACATTCATGTCACACAGGAAATCTGGCAAAACCTCTTGAGACTAAATGTGAGTTTAGAGTAAACAAACATGGCCAACTAGGAAGAAGGAATGGCAATAGTTTGTGGATTATAACATAAAAAGCAATACAAAGACGTCTCCAACGTCCACTGGACTTGCAGTTGTTTTGTCTCTGTGTTAGATTCCCACACAGACAAGTGTGTGATGTTCTGAGCTCAGAACATCACACACTGCGCCATCAGGCCAAGACATCCAACATGTTCATTATCTACAGTTTGAGATCCTGCCAAGCAGACCAAATCACACTCGGCTCGCCACACACAGCAAGAAAATCTTTTAAGATTATCCAGACGGTTGGTCGTCGGACTTCTCCCTCTTCCTGTCAGATTGTTGGCAGATGAAGGCCATTAGCACTGAAAATTTTCTGAAAATAAAATGAAATAAAATCTTTAGAGCCATCTTAATAATCAGGGTGTTATTGTCAGAAGATCAAAATTGGGTCAAAAAATCATCATAAACATTTTGTATGTGTTCAGGCCCAACCTGCAGCTCACATCATCTCTGATGTTTTTACAGATACCACCACCACCTCCAGCCCCGGCTCCAGCAGCCTGCCACCATGGCAACAGCCCCAACAGCCTGTGGTGTCTGCAGCCCAGCCGCCACTACCCATGGGAACCCAGTCCATGGTTCCACCTCCCCCTGGAGTGCAGCCCCCACTGCCCCCTGGAGCCCCCCCACCGCCACCTCCTCCACCTCCAGGCTCAACCGGCATGATGTATGCCCCCCCACCACCACCACCACCCATGGACCCTTCTAACTTTGTCACCATGATGGGCATGGGGGTACCTGGCATGCCGCCCTTCGGCATGCCCCCAGCCCCCCCTCCACCTCCTCCACAGAACTAATCCTGCCACAGAAAAGTTTTCACACCCCCTTGCAGAACATTACGCACCAGCTATCAACTGATTGATGCTTCATCCTGAACGTCCAAGTACTCAAAAGAAAAATCTACAAGCAGTGCTCTAATTTTATTGGTCCTCCATTTTGTTGCTGAAACAACAAAAGTTCTGTTCATAAAGATTGTAAAGTTGTGGAGTTTAGTTTATTCTCTGTTTTTAAAAATGGAACACGGGTTTTTGTGTGGATGTGAGCACAGGTTTCACCAAGCAGTTAGTCGTCCTCTTTCTCTGCTGAATCCATCGGACCGGGTTCTGCAGTCAACTTCCTCTGGTTTCAGCTTGCATGATTCACCTGAGACGCCTCATACTCTGAAGTGACAAGTTTATATTTCTGTCCTGGCTTTGAGCTGAATAAGATGAATATTTTTGTAATAAGTGAAGTGTATGTTACTTGTGTAGACCATTTGTAGTTCTGAGTGGTTCTGAACAGGAAGGAGAGTCCAGTGTTTTGATGTTTGGTTCCATGGTGGTGTGATGTGGCGTCCTGCTAACATCCAGCTGTCTGAGAACATTCTCGGTCCAGCAGCTCTGCTCTGACGACAATGTTCACTGTCTTTCTGTCGCTTGTGCAAAGACCTGAATGTTTTTGTCCCTCAGGTTGATGGAGGAATTTTTGTTTTTCTGGCATAACCCTGTGTTTTGAATGAAAACCTGTTGAAACCCTGCTTGATTTAGTAATAAACTTATCAAAGTAACCTTTTTGTGCCCCTGGTTTCTCTTTTCATCCTTGTAAGGTCCTTTGTTTGTGTGCCAAGAATTTTTTTCCCCTTTCCTCTTAAGGAACTCTTGGCTGCTTTTCCAAATGTTATGTAACAACAAGAATAGTTTTCTCTGTTCCTGTTGCTTTTTGACAGCAGACTTTGATTTTCATTTTGAAGCACTTGCCTCTTCATCAAACCACGTCAATCTAAACTACATAAAGAATGATTACTGACACTTTTTGTTTTGACAATGTGTGAATTAGCTGCAGTGACCTCAGATTTAAGTTCTGATTCTTATGACTGACTTACTTTTTGGATATATTTCAAATGATTTCAGGCTTAGTTGATTTAGTTATAGAAATGCATAAATTTGAGCATTTTGAGTAGATAATTTATTTCAACAACTTAATCACCAAGTGAAACGCATTGTACACAGACTGATGTTTTAACACTTTTTTCTGTTAATGATATTCTGCTAACGGTTAATGAAAATATGACATTTACAATTAAAACTGATACCTTGGAAATCAACTCGGATGGGGAATTTTAATGCATAGATGCCCTCATGTGCTGCTCTGTTGACCAGCTGCATAGGCACAGTTGGGGTTGCAGAGAAAGATGTGGCCGATGAAGCGGTGAAGAAAAACTGACAAATGCTGACATGAAGCAAACATTTCTCCCTGTTTCAGGTGTTGTAGACATGCTTTGTTCAGAATATTTTCAGCAACAGACTCTCTCAGATTTTCCAAGTGTGCCACAACAAAAATAAAACCTATGTAAAATCTCTTTAAAATCACATTATTAAATGTAATGTGATGTTTTTGGTGATCATTTCCCCAAAGTTATTTTTTCACACCTGACAGCTCAGTTCCAGCTCCTACTTAGGGAACCAATCTTTGGTTCTAAATAAAACATCTTGGCTCATTTGCTGGGTTCCTTGATATTTATGTCCGTTTATTCATGTTTCCTAACAAACCTTTACTGCATAATTCTGATTCTGATCTAATTACACACAGGAGGGCTGCATTTACTAATTAGGGGACTTCTGAAGAAAATGATTGGACTTGGTTTTATTTAGAGATATCAAAGTAAAGGACATTGTTGATGCTTCTCTTGATTTTTATTTGTGAAAATATTTGACAAGCATGTTTCCAGTACCAACATTCACCCACCATTTTCTTTCTACTTCATAATAATGTTAATCTGTGATCTTATATGATATCCAGTCCTACAAATTAATATATCAAGAGATAGCCACATGAAAAGGAGGGTCTTGAGATTGACACATAACTAATAACCTTCAAGGTAAAAAATAAAAATAAAACTTTTTTTTTTCCATAGTTGATCAAAAATTGTATTTTTCCAGAAAAGTAGAAACTATGGATAGTGAAGAGTGACAAATTATGAGTAGATACCTAAAATAATGCAGCCAGCAGCCCTGATCCCGCCCACTGAGTTTGATGGGTAATGTTGGCATCTTAAATAATTCATGATGTGTTTCAGGAATATGAAGTAAGTTAAAAAATTATATATAGGTTGTTTTTTTAATTAAATACATTTAAATAAGGCACACGTAATTAATTGTATGTTTCAAAATTTATTCTGTATTTATTTCTAGATTTAAAAAATTAATGACACATTTAAATTATTTCATAATTTATTCAATGTAATTTGGCACCTTTTACTCTCCTTAAAAACATAATTCCGCCTTACGCCTTTAATAATTTAGCTTTATTGTGAAAGGCTTGCCGGAAAAGCTTATGCTTTTCTTGTCAACTTGGCACAAAGGTTATAAATACAGCAAAAGCGGAAGGTTCCACTGGCCGGTTGCTGTCATTTAGGAGTCAGGGAGGACAGGGCAGTTGTTCAGTCGAGGATTAGCTTCACATTCAGTCTAAAGCAGGTAGCACCGAGCGAGCCTCCAGGCATGGCCAAGCCGCTGACAGACCACGACAGGAGGAAGCAGATTTCAGTCCGGGGACTGGCCGGGGTGGAAAATGTAGCGGACCTGAAAACTAATTTCAACAGGCACCTCCACTTCACCCTGGTGAAGGACCGAAATGTTGCGACCAAACGGGACTATTACTTCGCCCTGGCCAACACGGTCCGAGACCACTTGGTGGGCCGCTGGATCCGAACGCAGCAGCATTACTATGACAAGGACCCGAAAGTAAGCAGCTGATGCCGCAGTCTGCTCCGGCACGTACACACAGCTGATGAGATGAGCGGTGGGAGGGGCTGAGGGACCGCGAGCTGCTGCTGCATTGTCACTATTAGCTGTGCGCGTGAGATGTTTTATGTGTTTGAGTACGTGCGCGTGTATGATCTGCTCCTTGCATCCATTTATAGTCATGCGCGGAGTTCCTGCTGTTGACGCATGTTGTGTGTGTGTGTGTGTGTGTGTGTGTGTGTGTGTGTGTGTGTGTGTGTGTGTGTGTGTAAGCAGCTCGGGTACATGCAGACGCCTTCTCTCTCCATCGGCCTTTCTAACCTTCAAAAGACCGTCTTCCCCACCTTCCCTCCCTCTCTGTCAGGCACGCACTCACACACGTGCAGTGTTGCTGCTAAGGACAGTACAAGTAGAAATCCGCGGCGAGTTCCGGTAGAGACGCAACTGGTTGTTGGAACGTGATTGCGTAACAGCGTTCATCCATCCCCCCCATGAGCGACCGCATCACAAAATGGCCTCGCCACAATGCTGTTTGAAGGACTGTTTGAGATCAAATCTATTTTTCTATTAATAGATGCTGTCATCGACAGAGCTCTCCGCTGCCTCCTGTAGTTGGTGACAGTTGAATCCAGAGTGTTTCCTCTTGATTGAAGAGAATGACTCGCTCATGTGCAAAGCATAATTTACTGTGCATGGATTTACTTGGATCTCAGAGAAGAATCTTAGTGTTTTGTCTTTTGTGTGCAGCTGTAATAATATTTTTTATGAACAGTTTAATTGTTGATCTCATATAAGTGGGGTTTACACATTTTTGTTAATTGATTCCTATTCATCTAACTTGTTTAGTTTGGATTGTGGTGCACGGTTTACCTCCGTTTTTCCAAAAGTTAACTTTGTAGGACATACAAGGACAATCTTTCACCAGCCAGCGAGTGTGACCCAGCTTTTAGCGTGAGGGAGGGGTCCTTTAAAAGGAGGACAAAGCCTTTGAGGGTGGGAGGTGGTTTCACCTTACATCTAATTTAAAATATCATGAACCATTTATAATGCGCTGTAAATACTACTGGAGTTTATGCATGATCAAGCTCACACTGATGCTCAGTTTTCTGAGTCTGACCTGCTGATTCTGATATTGACAGGTCTGCTTTTATTCTACAGACTTTAAGACATAAAGGAACATGAAGTCATCATATTCCTTGATTGTTGTTTTTCAATTTCAAAATGAACTCCAACTTAAAACTGGTTCTCAAACTTTTTTAGGCTCATTTTGCAGTTCCCAAACCACCTTCTTACTGAAGTACACACAAGCACAAAAAAAACTGTGTATCAGAAAAAGGCAACAATAATAGAAAATAGAAGAAAAAACTTAAACCCTACAAATCAAATGCAAAAGAAAATTCTGCCACCACAGGAAATGGAATCAAATGGCAAAAACAGCAGCAAGTATAAAATGCTGCAAACTGGCTTCACAAAATGGAAGTCTTCCAGACCATGAGAGGAGTATGATATAATATTACCAAGGTGAATACTGTAATTTTGTAAAAGACTTCATATTTGAAATGAAGAGCATAATGCATGCTTTCTTTCTTCCTCCAACTTTCTTCTGGACATCCAGTTGAATTATGACATCCTGTCTTTACTGAGGTTCTGGTCCCATATGTTTTTGTGGTTGACTCCCCCTAGTGGTCTTGAGCACTTCCAATTTATGGGACAAGTTTACGATGTTTTAAACTTGGTGTTTTGCTATTTACAGCATTTTCCCCTTTTGCAACATTTTGCCTCTTATCACAACATTTTTAGTTTGCAGTGTTTTTTATTGCATTTGTTTTTTTATGTTTTTGTGTTTTGGAGTTTGCATCATTCAAGTGTTTAGTTAAGTAATGAGAATTAAGAAAAGTGGCATAATGAGTATAAAATATATCAAGTTTCAGCTAGGTGCTGTAACTGTGTTGCACCTTGTCATATCACCATGGAAACGGCTTTGAATGAGTAGTGCGAGAGCAAGTTTGCATTGCAACACTGGACTTTACATTAGTCCTGCTTTCAGTGTAGATATTAGGAAAGGACTTACCACATGTTGAAACTTTGTCTGAAGATAGCGTTTTGACCTTGGCTCCTCTACAGCCCTGCTACACATGCATCAGCTGCTCTTGTTCCTGAACCTGAGAAGGTCATCTATTGTATGAGCCAGGCATTTGTTTCACAAAATGTTGTGCATGGTTGGTATGTAACTTATTTTGCTGTTTTATAAATGGCAAATGGCTATTCTTTAACTTTTGTTTCTTGTTTTATCTCCACATCCTTCAAAGATGACAGGAAATCTTTTTATGTATGTGCTGCATATAATATCAATAACGCATCTAGCTGCTTCCACCAGTATAAAAAAATAAAAAAAATTTCCGAGGAAACAGAAAGTTGTTCCTTTGATGCAACTGATACTGCCCTAATTAAACTTAAATACTGACCAGTTTTTACTCTGTGTAATGATAATAATAGTGATAAATAATAATTGGATAAAAGTGTAGATATTTGCTATTAAGTCGACTCTGTTCTTTAACTAGAGTTATAACAGATGGGATTGGAATGAACCTACTGGTTGTTCTCTGGTTTTCTGCAGCGTGTCTACTACCTCTCCCTGGAGTTCTACATGGGTCGGACTCTGCAGAACACCATGGTGAACCTGGGCCTGGAGAACGCATGTGATGAGGCTACCTACCAGGTAAAGGAAATCACTGATTTCCAGCCATGTCTACCTGCATTTTGACAAGCATGTTCAAAACTAAACTTCAGCTTTGAGGAAAACTATCATCTATAAGAAGCGTCTGAGAAACACCCTAAATTCATAATGTTCTGTATTACGAGACAAACATTTAAGCACCTGACAGTTTTCTTCAGTCTCCACTAAAGGCTGTAGTCTTTCTGAGCAGATGATGTTGAGATGTTTGCTACCTGAACCGTGTCAAACATTTACAGTAGCATAGAAAAGGATCATAACCAATGACTCTTTCCACTTTTTATCATGTTTGCAGCAATAACAAACCAACCTTGCACATACACACATTCACACATATCACAGTCTGACAGACTGTGCAGCATGCCATCATCATGGCATTGTTTAGAGCTGGAATAATCTTTAACACTGCCAATGATGATCCTGCAGTTGTTTTAACTTAGGGGTTTTCAACTCCAGTTTGCAACACCAGTGTCCTGAAACTTTTAGATGTGTGTCTACTTCAACATACCTGAGTCACAATATGAGGGAGCAGGATTCTGGTGACTTTAACTGCACCAACGAGGTGATTGAGGTGTTTGACTGAAGTGTTGGACCAGGAATCTGGAGAGCCCATCAATGTTCTATCATGCCCAAATACAATGTTTATGACTATGACGCTGTTCTAATAAACTGTTTATAGACATGCCATAGTTCTTGAAACTAATGATTTCATTTCACTAGTCTTGAATGTAATAAGTTTTAAACTGAATGCTGTGCAACAGGGTCAACCACAGCTCATTACTAAGACAGGAAGTTCAGTCGTCTCCTCGCTCAGTTGCTCTCAGCAGGAACTTGTAGGCTTAGATATGAGCTCTCTGAGAGAACTCTTAGAGTCTTTGAGAATATGGACCCTGACATTTATGAAGATGGGACAAGAAGAAAGAAAGTCATAATATGAGCAGTTTGTTAAAAGCTGTATAAAAGTGGAAATCGGTTCACTAGTTCCATTGCAGCTTCTTAATTTCCCGTTTTAAACAGAAACAGTTTCCTTCTTTAGGTTATTGTTAACTGTAGGAACAAAACAGACACTTTTTAAGTCATATTCAGGAAGATCAGCTACCTGCTTTGACTTTTGATTGAGATAACAGGAAAAAAAAACGAATGGGAAATACCCTCAAAAACCCCGAACAAGACTCATTTTGTTGTTGTTTTTCTTTTAATGGTTGAGTAGTAAGTAGTAAGAGAAATGCAAACATGTTGGGATGAGACACATAACACCATGCAAATATGTTATAGATGAGGATAAATAAACAGAGGGGAGGTGCAGCAGATGGGGTGGAGTGGATGGCCAACGGCAGGGCTGTGAGCCATGATTAAATGCAAGCTTTATCAAAAAGGAAGTTGGATTACACACGTGTGTTTTTGCAGAACTCTAGGAGCCGGTTCAACAGATGAGCCGCTCTGCTTCTCATCCTGCCTTCAGAAACCACTAAACTTTTAAGGGGCATTATTATGTAAAGCTAAATATTATGTCTTCACCAAAAACATAACTGGAGTGTTGCCTCGACTATTTCATGCATGTTTTAGAAATCCTTTAATCTCCATTTCAACCATTCACTGTGTAAATTCACTGGGTGGAACCAAATGGCTCACAGAGCAACCCTACCCCATGACTCCCTCACTTGACTCCTTCAGACTAGCCAACAGCAATTAGCAAACGCGTCTGCTGAGCTCTTTATAGGAGCTACTTCTTGGTGTAATGCTGGTAAAAACATTGCTAAAGTGTTAATAGAGGAGCCATGTTGCGATGACTTCCTGAAGGCCGAGTTTCAGAAAGAGCTGGAGATCTTAAAGAGACAGAAGCCCAATTACAAGGTGTTCAATTGCATACTAAATTTTTTTTAAGTCACATTTGATGTATACATCATTTCTATAACAACTACGTTTAATCTTCATTATCAACCATTGTCTTCTATCCTTCCTTGTGTCCTTTCTTCAATAGTTACTTGATTGTGCTACAACATGGCACTTTGTT